AAATAAATTCAATATTTCATTTGAAGCTCTCAAATCGTCGTTTTTTAACTTAAAAGAAAGCTATTTGTGAGTTAATTTTTTTATATATTTTTTTTATTCTACGTTGTTATTATATAATAATACTCAGAACGTGGGTACCCCGGTACCCGGTTGCTAAAAGACGTCGGTAAAGTGGTTACTAACATAAGGGTTAAATAAATTGGGTGAGCGTGTTTTTCTCCTAACGGTTGACTTTACTCCTTATATATTGTTGATGGTATGTGAGTTATAAAATTAATTGAGTTTATGAATTATAATAAAAATTAATAAAATACCAGCTAACGGTTGTTTGTATCACCTAAAAATAATCGAAATATATGTAGGGTTATGCAAGTATAAATGATTAGGATGTCGAGACGAGTTGAAGTCAGAGTGACTGTTTGTCCGTCGTCTGTTCGTCTGTCTGTACAAGCTATAACTTGAGTAAATATTGAGATATCAAATGAACACGTATTCCCTGGCGAAAAGCTGAAGACGAGTTCATAGATAGGCGTAATCGGACCACTGTCACGCCCACAAAATGTCATTAATCGAAAACTTTAAAATGTCATAACTAAGCACTAAATTAAGATTTACAAATGTACTGGGATTGCCGTAGTAAGTGGCACCTGTGGGCCGCTTAAGTTACCACAACCAAATTCGCAGAGAAAAAATTGTATATTTCCGACTTTCCACTTGACTTCGAACCGTTTAGATTGATCAACATGTGTGATATTTTATTAAAATTAAGAGGACACGTTTTCTTAAAAGTTATAAAATTATATTAACTGTTTGATGCTCAATATAAATGAAATTGGGTTTTGAATATTGCCAATAGCTGAAGGTATTTCCCCGGCTTTGATCTTTGCAAGTTGCAAAAGTATAAAATGTTCTGTTACACCCGACTTAGCTCTTCCTTACTTGTTTAATTATGTATGCCTAATTAAAACCACTATAGTCAAAAAAATTACACAGGTATCTTAATCGGAGGCGATTAAAATCTCTAAACGAAGATCTAAGCAGAGGAAATTATGGTACATAAAGAAACCAATTCCAATATTTTAAGGATCACGCTAATATTTATTTACTTTTAAGTAAATATTTTGAAAGTTAAACTTTGTACTCCGTAAAACCGGCCACCCTGTTGAAATTGGTCCAAATTTTTCCTACTGTCCCCATATGCCAATGAGTTGGCGAGCCAGCTTGTTAACGGACTTTTCATCGTTAGCCAGCAGGTCACCTATACAAATGTATGTACGGCTGATGTAAGCTTTGCATTTCTGAGGCAAACATATTTATGGTATGAACGTCCATATGTTCTTTCCGGCATATATAACTTGTATGTGAAAACCTGGCAAAGACGATTCGCGACGCCTGCATGCATAGTTGAGTTCGCATAGAGTTCCGGCATGCCTCATGTGGCCGGCTATTTTGCATTTAGTATTGCAATTAAAATTGAAATGTGTTGAGCGTGATGTGTGTACTTTTTCTTAAGCCCGCAAATGTGGTTATGAATAAGCGATTTTTGCGTTAATTGTAGATACTCTTGAGAGGATAAAAGTTTGATCCCAAAACTACCATGAACAAAAGTAGCGCACGATATGATGTTAGAAATTATACGATATATTTTTTTTTATAGCTTAAACATTTTCCAGATTTATCAGTATCGTGATTGTTAATGTTATGCTCTTCAACATAGTGAGAATAAGCAATGCTAAATATTTATTGTTTTAACGCCTTTGAAAACCATTATCGGTATTGTCACGACCTTGGAGCGCACTTAAAATAGGTCCAATCAGACAGGTCTCGGTTTTTTCAATCGTTTTTATGTCTTTATGACATTGAATTAGATCCATAACTTCTTCTCAGTTATGAATTTGTGTTTTTAATAATATGCTTCTTTGAGTAGTTTTAGACTCCATTGGCAACTGTGAGGATTTTTTATTGACTTGTTAGTTCAAACCTTTTGGTTAAAAATTATTGTCTCGTGACTCTGTTTTTTAGCTGCCACACTGAACAATCAAAATTAAGTGCTTGTATGGAAAACTTTTTCATTTGACGAGATATCTTCACCTAGTTTTGCATGGATTATTTCCCAAGGGAACGCTGCAATCTCTGAAAAAAATATTAAGATTGTGTCTTTACAGCATATAACTGAAATCTTTTATAGTTGTGAAGGGCTGCTTAGATGCAGCCGGAGTTATTTTCTGTTTATTGTTTCAAATAGGAAAGAAGCGACTTTAACTACGCAGAGTGTTTTTAAGAGTCTCCTTCTAAACTGATTTGCTACTGTCTGTAATGCCTGCTAATTCTTATTCGCAATTTAAGGAAAAACATTTTATTATTATAGAGTTTATGGACTAATAAAGCAAATACTTGCAAATATGTATGTATGTAGGTATTCACAATTAGTTTCCACTGTAAATTTAGCTAAACATTTATATTAACCATATATATATATACATACATATATCACTACACAAAAATTGCAAACCATTTTATTGAAATACTTCCAAAAGCTATCTATGACATTTGACTTGCTTTATTTCCTTTATATTTTTTGCGACAGCAGTGCAGTGGGGTCAACAGGCCACAACTGCTGCCACATGTCAATCAAATCAATTACTCCATGACAAGTATGCGCATAGTAAAAAGTAAATCGCGAAAAACGGAATTGGAAAAAATGAAATAATAAAAAATAAAAAGAGAATAATAAATGCGCTTATATGTAGGTATATACATACATATGTACACATATAAAAAAAATAAATACATTTATATGTCTCAAATTCTCGTGAGCTTTATGCGGCTTAGTCAGTCGTATATAAATATTTTTGTACACACTCTCATCTTGATTAATGACCGCACATTCCAGATATTTGTTTATATAACAATATTGCAATTGAGTTTTTATTTTTTTTTTTTTGAAATTTGCTGCAAAATATGGACCATAACTCAGTTGTACTCAGCTATGCATGTGTGTGTTTTTCACTTTCTCGCTACAGTTATGAAAGTTTATAAATTTCAACAATAACATAAAGCCAGCTATTAAGTGCTCCACAACTAAAATTTTTTATTTTTTTTTAACATTTTAAATAGTGAAATTATTAATAAAAGAAATCTTAAAATATTGTATTTCTATTGTTATTATTGGTGTTATTTTAAACTTTACTTTTTGTGCATAAAAAGCGGCAACAGTGAGCTAAATGGGTTGCCTGCTGCTTTATGTCATTTCGCTGATTTTCCATTTACGCCAAAAAATTGCAATATTTGCCATTCGAAATTAAAAGTCAACATTTTTAAAAGCTTTGTGCGGCACACATGTTGAGCGAATGGTAACTACATATGTCTGTATGTGTAAAATGTATGTTAATATTTTATTTCATATTTTCCATTTTCCTTTCAATTTTTTTATTTTCGCACACAACTTCCTCCCTTTATACAAGTGTAATCAGTACAATACAATGTTTTATTGGCGAAAATATTCATAGTAGCTGCACTGCCATTAATATTACCACAACCATTACATTGCGTAACGGTGTTTACATATAAGGAGTTAATCTACATGTTCTCCGGCTTTCTGTTTTCCACCCAAACGGATAGTCAAATTATTATTTTTCTTTTTCTCTTGCTTATGGGTATGAATCAATAGTTATTGCTCGGTTTCCAAATTCCCGGTTTGTCAATTTTTTTCTTTACTTAATTTATATGTATTTTTATGTAATTTTAGTCCGTGTAACTGTGCCTTATCTACAAGGCGAGTGAGCTACATTTTTCAAATTATTAATATATCGGTTGTGGTTATGTAGACCCGTCTGTCGTGGAAACGGATCATAACATTTGATATTAAGCGGAGTAAGTCGACTAAGAGATGACGTTTTTAAAAATTTTTGTTTTGTAAACTAGAAAAGTATTAAAAATTTCTTTCCCTGTCGAGTCTGCAAATTTTTTGGATCCCACACATGACTGGGAACGTTGTGCAAAAGACGGTGGGTCCTATCAGATCTCGTTAAATAATGGTTCTAGGTAATGCTGCAATTTGCAAGACACAATCAGAGAGGGCTTTATGTTATAATAGTACCGTTAGTAGTAGGATAAAGAACTTATTAACAGCAGTGGAGTTAATTAGTGCGGATGCAATGAGATAAAGACTATAGCTATGGTTTTTCTTCTGGTTTAGCAATTAAAGTTGGAAGGCAGTACTCAATTCCGAACTTGTTTGGCAGAAAGTTAATCCCAGAAACTGCTTTGTGGTATCGTTCCGCTAGAATTACATCACATATTGTATAGAGCGTGTTGCGTGAAGTACGAGAGCACATGATCAAGGTTAGAGCAAATCAAGAGACGGTGAATGTCTTCTGGTGCAGGAAGTAAGGACAATTGATATCAAAGACAACGTGAAGTTTTTGATATCCTGGGGTTATAACTAACATTGTATAGGTCTCATGTCGCACCCGTATTAATATGTGATATCTTAAAGTAACTAGGATATACATATGTAGCAGTTCCTGTGGCTTTCGACGGTAAGCTTTTTTGAAATTATTATGAAAATTTTCACGTTTATGATAGTATATAGCAGATAAGTTGACGACATGAAAATAGTTCATGAAAAAAAAACAGTGACTGAACATTTCTTGCAAATGAACCCAGGGGTTCCAGCATTGCAAGTATTCAAAGCTGTATCAGCACCAAAAATGACAGTCAATCATTCAAGATTGCTTAGGCTGTTTGAGAGTCAATTGCAGTAGAAAGAATAATGTTGATAGAGATAATATAATTTAAAGTTTCTATCTAGTAGTTCTACAGCGGACGAGTTTTTATTAGGTAACAATTTTTCCTGCTTAGATCTGTAGAGTTCAAAATATTCGGTGTGCTTGGACTTCATATGAAATCATTTCCTGTTTTAATTTAAATTCTCATTGAAGGTCATGTTTCGGAAAAGTCTTAAAATATGTTTTTGAAAATGGATGATCAATATTTATAGGTAAAAACATGGAACACTTTTGTTATATTAGATAAAATACGAAGACATTTTCTTTATGCTAATTTAGTAGCTTGTTGACATGAATAATATTATTTATATTTCAGGAAGTATTCTGCTTATCTTGTTTTATAATTTTTTATATATAGTAAATAACCAAAATTTCCAGGAACTATTTAATTGGTAAATATTATTATAATGCGAAAATTCTCTATCTCCGCTAAGCATTCGACTCAGCGTCGGTTGTGCCCTGACTTTCCGCTGCTGGCGCGTCCGGCTTGGGCTCCTCAGTCGAACCGAATACACAACACGGACACTTCTTCTTCAGCACCAAACGATACTTGGGGTGACTGTAATTAAATTAAGTAATTCAATTATTATTAACAGTTATCATTGGCGCATTACTGCCATGCACATGCAGCGCATATTTAACGATTCACCTGATAGCGTACACAATCGGATTAAAAGCCGCGCTGATCTTGGCGAATGTGCCACCCCAGATAGTATTTAACGGCGTCAAAATTTCCACTTCGAAGAGTCCGCAATAGCAAATTATTAAATAAGGTGTCCATCCCATAAACCACAAGGAGATTGTGGTCAATGCCACCTTGGCCAATTTCGCCTCGGCACTCTTCTCACAATCCTCAGAGGAGCGCAACGACTTGACGTTCATCTTTTTAGCCTGGTCGCGCATTGCCTTCTCATGCGCGGCCACAGCCTCAATAATAAACCAGTAGGAAAAACAAATAAGACAAAGCGGTGTAAAGTAGACGAGCAGTGAGTAGGTGAGCAGGTAGGAGCGTGCATTCCAATCGTGCGTCATATAATCGATGGAACAAGCGGTTAAATTACCTTCGGGCACATATCTGTTCGCATAAAAGCGAACGAGAAATGAGAAATTTAATTAACAGTTATTAATTTACGTACAACACCAACATATTAACGCACCTGCTCCAGCCCATTAACGGTGCCATGGTCCAAAATGTTGCAAACAACCAAATGGCAATGATTTTCTTCTGTGCCAATTTAATCGTCATTGGTCGCCCTGAAACGCCCTTCACAATAACATTATAGCGATCCAGTGCAATCATGCACATTGACCAAATGGACACACAGCCGAACATCGAGCCACAGATGGAATAAATGTCGCACCACAGCGGTCCCAGTATCCAGGTCTCGTAATAGAAATTGATGATCATGACCGGCGCTTGCGAGATCATCATGCAAAAGTCGGAAAATGCCAAGTTCAGCACGAGCAGATTAGCGGGTGTGCGCAGCGATTTGGTGCCACCAAATATATAGACTACAACGCCATTGCCACACGTGGAGAGGAGTAGTAGGGCCAATGTGAAAATACCCAAAAATTGACTCATTGTCGAATCCATTGGTGGGAATTTACTCCAGTAGGGGTTGACGAGGTGTGCCATATCGGGGGTAATCTGAAAATAGAAGCATATTTCACAATAGTTATCGGATATAATATATAAATAAATTAATAATATTTTTATAATAACATGGGGACATACATATTTGTAAAAAAAGTAAATTATCTTGGGACGTCTGCTAAACAATTGTGACGCAGAAATCAATCGCCATTTGGTGAAGTTAGAAAACCATGTGACCTATTTTTGTAACCAAACTTCTTAATATTATGGATGAATGAGAAAAATATGAACGGGATTACGGAAGCCACTATTAGTTATAAGGAGCCTCCTGGAAGCTATAAGTCGATTTCAATCACTTTCGATATATATATATTTACCAGCTCGTAAAGATCTATAGATTTTAGCGAAATACTTATATCCTTATGTCTTTACTCATGAGTTATATATTTTGTCGAAGAGGACTTCAGTTCATAGGCCGAAGTAAGTCTTGATTGATTTGATTTGTTGCTTTTAGGATTTATAAAATTATCTAAAATTGAAACTGTAACCAGACATCACTAACTTCAGCTGCACCGAAGCTGTAATACCCTTCACAAATACAAAAAATTCCTACAAGAACTGGATATAGGTCAGTTTATATGGCAGCTACTATGGCTCCGACAAGTGAAAGCTTCTTGGAGAGTAAAGGACGTGTGCAACATTTCAGAGCGGTATCTCAAAAACTGAGGAACTAGTTTTCGTAGATTTAGACAGACTTGGTAAATCGACACAGCTCGTCACATTGATCATTTGTATATACATATATTTGATAGGGTTTCCGACGACTCCTTCTAGGTGTTACAACCTTTGTGGCGACCCTGTTAAGGGTTTAAAAATTACACAGTTTCTATAAGAATTTTAAGGGTATTAAGTCACTACTTCACTGCTGATAAAAACCGGTTTTACGCCTTTAACTAAACAGAAGCGGGTAGTGAGCTTCGTTTAGGTTATGCCGTTTCGTCGCCGTTTTTGATTTTGAAACCGAATTTTATCGTCGTACCTACTTTGTTAGTTTGAGAATATAAAACGGGTGCCGATCCCAGATCTCCTTATTCTTTCCTACAGTAATCCGACACGGCTTTAAAACATTCTGAGAGCTCGGGTATTTTGAATTCTATTTTTTCGGTAGACCTTGCTTTACTTCCAGACTTTCTAGAATAAAGCTATGTTTTCATAGTTTTTCTATCAACGTGAAGTCAGTTTTGGTTTCAATATTAATTAAAAGTTTTATATTGTTGAAAATCTTATCGAAAAGAAAAAACGTTTTATTATTTCCAGTTCTAGTACAATAATCTTGTTGATGTGTTCAACTATTTGTCTGACAAGCCGGGTATTATTTTCTTGCTTGTCTTCCATTGTCAAAGTTTTTTTTACACAAAGTTGTTTCCTTTCAAATCCAAAGCCTAATCCGACAGCTGAGCTTTTTGTGATTTAAGGGATTAATTTTGGCATACCTTTGATGGCAAACAAACTGCTACAAAATCAATATGGAAACGCCAGCTAATGAAATCACGTATTCATTGAAGAACGCATGGGGGTACGTTTGTACAATTAATTGTGATTTTAAGCTATTAAATATCTGAATGTTTCCTCAAATAATATTCACACCTGTTCAAACACCAAATATTATTTCGTTTTGAAACATTTGAATGAATCGCTTGTCCTCATAATCTCGTCAACAATTAATTGCTTTCAAGCTCACACAATTAAACATTCGATACAATTTACACTTACACAATCCATGATCGAACCATTGGCCGCATACAATGTACACCCTTTGCCGAATTCACTCCAAATTTCATCGAGACTGTGTGGGATTTATTTAAATTTTCGATTATTAACAATAATTGCAATTTATTTAATAATTTCTCACTAACCGCTGCCAGTTGATGGCATTATATAGTTCAGAAAAGTTGAATGCTGTTAAATTTTCCAACATTTCATTTATAAAATGCGCGAACGCTCGTACCGTTTAAATCACTATTCGGATTTTTTGCACTGGAACCTTCCGTTCACTATTGTTGCCTACTTGTAAGCGCCACGCGTGAATAAAATGCAATCACAGTATGCGCAATCACACAATAATTCGAATGTGTTTGATAAATGCGCTGACTAAAGCAAATACGTACAGAGGCATTTAACACAGGTGTGGAATTATAATGAACTGGGTAAATTACACGGGAAATATTTGTTGGTTAAATGTCGGTGGATAGAATAATTATTTGGAGGTTTTTGCTATTTGCAAAAATGTCGGCGGGGAATATTATTTGTGCTACGTTATGCTAATTTATTTGATTTTATATTATTGGCCCTAATTTCTTATAGGTGAATAACATGTAAAGTTATAGAATATTAATTATATAATGTTTTTCGTAATGGCAATTGTTAATACTTCAAATAATATTTTTCTAGATTTTTATGAAGAAAAGAGGATATCTAGAAAATGTATATATTTAAACTAAAATTAAATTTATTAAAGTATATTTGAAATTAGTTTTCGATAATTATTGCCAATTAATTATTACATTTTATCGATAACTTAAGTTTAAATTTATTGAGCAATATTTAGTTTTTTGTTATATTGAGGGTTGAACAAGTAAAACAAATAAATTATAATTACTATCGACAATTCAATACTAAAAATTATCGAAATATGTTTACCTTAGCTTGCCGTTGAATGACAATTTAATTATATCCTTGGTCAATAATATATAATTGGAAGTTATCGATTAACCGATAATACATAGAACTTACTAAGCTTACCTGCTTGTATTCTATAGAAGAACTTTTCAGCGATAAATGAGATATAATTTTTCGAACAAAATTTTTTTTTGCTAAATGTGGTACTATCGATAATTAAATTTAAGAAAAATATGTTTTTGTGTAACATGGCTTTATTTTAATATGTGTTAAATGTATTTTAATGGTAATTGAAGACTATTTTGACTGTATTTTTATCCATAAAATTAAATTGATTGTTATCGATTAATCGATATTACACGAAATTTAGGTGTTTAACATTTCAGCGATAAACAAATATAAAAAATATATTGTAAATCAAAATTACTAATTAAAACATATTTATTTGAAGGCTTTTATATTATATATATGTATATATACCTGCTTTCAAATGGTTTCAGATATTTTAAAACAAAAATATTTATATAAATTTTCATTATAAAATATTATAATTAGCTTAAGAAAAAAATTTCCAAAATCGCCTTCATTTTCTCTATGTGTTCATTAACGCCTTGGCCTTAACCTTGATTAAAGTCGGTAAAAAGTAGACATGAGTATTATCGGATTATCACCTGTTGGCTGAGGTTTCATGATTGCGGTGTCAGAATAGCGGTTTGAATAGATTGCATGCTATATAGATATATAGATATATGAGTATGGTTCCACTATTTATACAAAATTTCAAGATTTTGCAAGTTCAAGAGAAGTGAGTCCAGTGTTAACCCGTTTGCTACCCTTACTTTTTCTCAAGATATCTTCACAAACATAGTTTCAAACATATTAATTTGATACAGATAGGTACATTGGTATGGTCATAATTATACGAACCGGGTACTGTGCTACTCTTGAAAACTTTTCTACCTACAATCTCCAAAATAAAAATCCACTGCGGATAATTTTACTATACACTCTACACTAAATTTCCGGTCTATTTAGTTTGACACTCAGTTTGTAACAGCCTGAAGTAAAAGTCGGAAACCTTTATAAAGTGTAGTATACACATATATAAATGGTCAGCGTGATGAGCTGAGTGGATTAATCCATGTTCGTCCAGTTCTTGAGATATCGACATATGTATATTTAAAAGAGAGGTTTTTGCTATTGACAGACAACTTCAGAGTCAACATCTACGTGGACAGCCAAGCAGCCATCAAGGCTTTAACCTCGTTTCGCATATCGGGCAGAAGTGTTCAGGAAAGCAGGACAGCGTGGAGAGTGTCTTCAGTACCAAGCGACTTCACTTCTACTGGGTGTCAGGTCACAAAGGCATCGAGCGCAATGATATAGAGGACGAGATTACTAAGATTGGTGTACGGCAACAAAATCAGAAAATATCGAGAGCAAGGCACCAGAGAAACAATGAAGCATCTCTTGTGCACTGGAAGAGGTATCGTTAGTGAGGCCACACACTCTGTTGAAATTCGCGTCAATCGCGTACATCCTAAAGAATGACTACTCTTTATGGATTTCATAACGCAGCTCCGTCTGGTATCGCAAAGGACCAAAACTGGCGAATGTGTGACTTGTAAGCCTACCAGACTAACTAAACCTAGCTTTAAATGTACTGCAAGATTGCTTATTTCAAACAACTTGACTAGAAAATCTAGCAGAATATTTTCAGATTTAGTTATACATATAGTTGCTTTAAGAAATACACATTTGAAAGCTATTATAGCTTCGGCTCAACCGAAGTTAACGTTTTTTTGTTTTTTATACCTAGTCTGTAACAAGGTTGATAGCAACAATTTTTTAATGCTAACTAATGATAACGGTCCTTTATGAAGGAAGTAAAATGATATATAATAAAAAATCTAAATAAATATAATGAAGTGAGTTTTGACTGGTTATTTCGCCCAAAAAATGTTTGCAATTTGACCTTATTTTGAATAATTCATAAATTTCAGATATGTATGTACACTCACCCTATTTAAAACACTGCCATTGCTGAGCTACGCCTTGAATTTCGGGAATTGCAGAGAAGGTGAACGGTAAAACAGCATACTTGTATACGAAAATCAGCCACACATGTTACCACAATTTGATTAGTGTTTTCATTGGCAAAACTATTCAACCCCTAGTAATACAGCGGAATTCCACCACTTGTCTGCTTATTTGCGCGCATGTACCTGTCCATTGTCATTTCCATTAGCCTCACAAAATTGCTGCAGCTTCACATGAGTTGAATTTCACATTAATTTTTAACTTTTCAGTGGATTACATTAGAGCACGCTGCCATTAGTTATGAACTTTTGCCAGTGGTGGAGGTTGATGGACACGCCATTCACACACACATTCGCGAAAAATTACATAAAAAATTTCTATTAAATTAACAGTTGAAATTTCCAAACACCGTTAACTTTGCACTTTTACTCGATGGCGCCGGTCAACCGGAACCGCGTTCCAGTGCTGCCACGAGTAGCCACGTACAGAGGTTGCCACGCTTTTTATTAGCGAATTGCATTTTCATCACTAATTGGATTAGCGTTGTGTAGTACAAAGCGCAAAACGCTTATAAATTTATATAAAAAATAAAATTAAATTAGGAAATTTGCATTTGAAACTGATACCACATTTATTAAAGTGCACTTTTGCAGGTGTCAGGGGTGAAATTGACATGCATATAGACAGTTAAATGATATACAGTTAGTTATTGTAACTGTTTGTATAGAACAAACGCGTTTACAATGTCAATAAGTGACAGCAACATTGTTGGTACATTTATTTTGTATTCTCTGTTTGACAAGGTAGACAACCGACAAAAATGCTGAAAATAACAAAAAGCAACCAAAAAAAACGTTAACTTCGGTCGCACCGAACTTAAATTACCCTTCCCAGATACAAAAGCTGCTTACAATAGCTTGATTGAAGATAAGCTTGAGCGTGGAGATATCTCGTCAATTAAGAAAGTTTTCTATACAAGCACTTTACTCCGCTCGTTCAGTTAATATGGCAGCTATATGCTATAGTGATCCGATCTATACAATATCTTCGAATATTGTATTATGGTTTTAAAGAATAATCCATGGCAAATTTAGTTAAGATACCTCGACAAATGAGAGAGTTTTCCATACAAGCACTTTACTCTGATCGTTCGGTTTGTATGGCTATAAGCTATAGTAGTTCGATCTGAACCATTTCTTTGGAGATTGTACCGTTGCTTTGGGCAATTATTCATGCCAAATTTTGTGAAGGTGTGTGGCAGCTATATGCAATAGTTGTCTGATATCGACGGTTAAGCCAAATAAACAGCTTCTTGGTGTGAAAAACACGTGTGTAAAATTTCTGGTCGATATCTCAAAAATTGAGGGACTAATTCGTGTATATACTTGTACAAACGGACAGACATATGATTAAATCGACTCAGCATGTCACGCTGATAATTTATAACTTTTTGGTTGTCACACATATCGTGACAAACTTGTTCAGTGTACAAAGAGAAATATGTATATTAACTTATAACAATATTTGGTTTAATGATCAATGTCAATTGATTGACAGGTGAATTGAAATATTATTTAACCTATAATTGTCCGCTATGTGGTTCTGTTTTGTTGTTTAACTGTAAATTAATACTTTAATGCAATGCAATTGAGTTCTGTGACTTCTCTATTCGTTTTAATTGGCCATTTGAGGATTTATATCTGTTTGTTAATTTTAAAAATCGATTTTATACTTTAATATCCAATGTGTGTACTTATGTATGTATATTTGGGAATATTTGTAAGAATTTTTTTAACTTACTTACTAAGTAATCGGCTCCAAAAACTGTATACGCTGTTTTCAGAGTCGATGAGGAAATTTCCTCTGAAACGATTCGACCGATGAACTTTCTGAACTAAATTTTTTCACGTCTTTTTTGGATATATTTGTCAGGCAATTTTTGTATTAATAATATTTTTGATAATAATTTCTTATAACAATTTTTTAAGCCGCTCGGAAGTGTATTTTTTTTTACAAAACGACTTTCTTTTTTGAGAAGCATTCACTGAAGGGTATAAATGGTTACATAGAAAGTAAGAAAATAAGAAAGTATTTTTTACCATATACTCTGTTGTATCTCGCTGCTTCCTATGTAACCGTATAAAACATTTGAGAATATCTTTACTTTGTTGCTACCCTGTAATAACATAAATAAAAGCAATAAGGAGAAGATAGGTAAGTTAAATGTTGGACAGGAAATAGTTCGACAACTTCTTATGAACTTAGTTGCAATCCAAAAAGATGGTCGGATATTTTCGTATGTCGGTTTCCATTCACGTATATCGGACAAGAAAGTGGTTTGCTAAATCCATAAATGAACGCCGAGGACTGTTAGGCCAGTAAACGGCCTAGCGATGCAGAAAAC